TTCACATGGAAGATCTCCAAATTCTTCCTTCAAGCGAAATCACAATCACAGAAACATCGTCGTGATACCTGCGACGATCTCCTTGCGGTATCTCAAGCAACTCATGAAAGTCCATACCTAAAAGAAAACACAAAAGTTGTACGTTAGTTCAAAATTTAAAACTGCGTTTTGCATCTTCATTAACAACGTTTACGTTTTAGTACCATATTTATTGGCAGCTCGAAGGAGGACTTCTTGGATAAGATGTTGAGCAGGATCACCTTCAGGGAAAGCTGAGATAAATGAGTCAACTTCGAAGATGGCTTCTTCATTCGAGAAGTATTCGTATAATCCGTCGGAGGAGAGGATGAGGAATTTGTCACGTGACGTGAGTCTGTGGTGGTGCAGCGACGGTGAGCACGTGACGTACGGCGAGTTTCCGACGTAGTTGATTCTGAACATCTCTAGAAGCGCCTCGTTCCATTTTGGCTGCGTCAAAACATCCAAATTCTACTCATAAACTAATACTATAATCAAACCGAATAAAAATATATGTAGACATTCATGTTTCTACATTTTGATATATTAAAAACCATGTACAATTTGATACAACAAACAAAGAAAAATGCAAAGATCTTGTAACTGTCTAAATATACCTGTTTAAGAAATCCAGCACCAAAGGCACGAGTGACTTTGAGATAACCTTTCACTCTATCATTCTCTATCGCCAATGCATCATCAGGATGTTCCTTCTTAATTCTTCTCACTTCCTGTGTCACCTTATAATAAAAACATCATCAGTTTCTCTTTTTTCTATCGATGAGAACAAAACATTTTTGAATCAAGARTCGCACCTCTTCGACGTTTGTGCTATGTTCCATATTAAGCTGAACAGGAACCAAATGATTTAATCCTCTTTCTGTGATGAACAAGTTCTCTAATGGACTCTCTTCTTTGATTCTCTCAAGCTCCTTTTGAATCTTCTTATTCTTTCGGAGATCAGGTCTTCGAGCAAGAACCGCTCGGCTATCTCCGACGCTCATCACGTAAACGTCTTCTCCTTTCATCAATGTCACAAGAACGCAAGATCCCATCAATGCTAGTTCTGGATTCTCATCAACCGTCAAATCAAACGCCTCCTCTGTTTTCTTCAACGCTTGTTGAAGAGCCCTTAGAACGTCTCTGTGATTAGTCATCTCCGAATCGGATTCCTTGTGATTCTGATTCCAATTTTTCCATTGCAACTTCTTCAGATTCTCTGTTACGTTTCTTGAGTCGCAAGAAACATCGTTCCCATTCATCACAGTCACAGGACAGTTTGGTTGATCCGAATCGGAATCTTGCTCGACCGGACTCTGTTTCTCGATACGAGACTCGCGGTTTTCGCTTTCTAGATTCTCGTATCCGTCTTTGTTGATCCATAGCAGCCCTTTGAGCTCTTTGAGCACGGCCGTGTAGAGATTGTTGAGAAGATAATCCGGTGGATCTGGACCACTGAATCCGTCGTAAATCCCGACGAAAAGCCAACCGTTTTCATCCGATAGGATGACGTGTACACGATCTTCCCCTGCTTTCCCCTGTGCCCATTGAATCTTTGGCTCTGACTCAG